CCCCAAAACCCCAAAACCCCAAAACCCCAAAACCCCAAAACCCCAAAACCCCAAAACCCCAAAACCCCATAAAATAAATTTTAATCGAAAAATAATTAATTTTAAATGGATAGTGAGAAGAAAACAGGAAGTGCCCAAAACAATGAAAATAATGGTACCAAGCTAGATGGTGTCAAAGCAGCTGACCAAGAGAGTGACTCTCATGCTCTGCAGCCTGACACCAAGCAAAAAGAACCGGGACAGCCTGGTGTTAGTGCAGAGGGTGCTAAAGTCTCTGGAAAAGAAGAAGCCAAAAAGGTTGCTGCAGGCTCCCATCTCCAAGTTTCTCATAAAGATAGTCCTAAATATGGGGACGACCGTGAACAGGATTTTGATGAAGAAGAAAGCAATAAAAATTGGAGTGAATATCGGGTTTCCGGTAAAGCTCCTACTAGAAGAGGATACCATGCCTCATTCATACATGATAACTATTTATATGTGCATGGAGGTCATGACATTAGAGAGGGAACCCTAGATACCATGCACAGGATTCATTTAGAGCCAAGTAGTAATGACAACGAGTGGGAACAGATCAGCCAAAGGGGCATGCAGAAGCCTGGCTGTATCTCCTACCATACTCTGACCAGACATGGCGATCAGGCCTTCCTCTTTGGAGGATCTGATCTTGGCATCGATAATTCCAAAATGTTCTCTTTTGATATCGAGAATTGTGAATGGAAGGTCATAAGCGACCTTAGCAATGAAACAGGTGATCAACCCATCACGAGAGATGAGCATTCTGCTGTTCTTTGGAATGATACTATTGTCATCTTCGGAGGAAATGTGAAGGGATTCAAATCAAACGACGTGTGGTTCTACCATGTTAATGAAAATAAGTGGGAAGAAGTAAAGGCAGATAATTCCCCTCCAGAACGCTCGAATCATGCTTATACAATTTCAGGAGATAAAATGTATATCTTCGGAGGAAAAGATATCGAAAATAATAAACTCAAGGACCTTTGGTGCTTCGACTGAAACTCTAAATCATGGACTGAAGTAGATGCTAAAGGAGATGATCTTCCAATTTGTAGATCTGGAGCTTCCCTGGTTAGCTATAAAAATTATCTTCTGTTATTCGGAGGAATCTTTGAACTCACGAAGGAACTGGGAGACCTCTACGCATTTGACACAAATGGATCAAAATGGTTCACAATATTTGAAGAGACTGATAGTCCTGTGCACAAGCATAGCCCAGGTTCAACCTTTGGAATGGGTAGATTTAATAGGGCAGACTCTATCAAGAGTCCTTCTCCAGTCAACAGTTCATTTAAGAAGAGTGATCCAAACTTCTCTATGTCTCTGAAGAAGACTAAATAAGAGCAAAAAGAACCTGAATCATAGCATTTTTGAAGTAGATAGCTCGATGCTCAAAAAGCAGAAGCAGATGAAAGCCTTGATCAAGAAGCGTGAGAAAGAGAAGAATCCAATGGAGCATAGCATGCTGACATCTCCGACTTCATTATCTATGAAGAACTCATTTTTGATCAATAATACCGGCAAAGGATTCGAGAATTATTTTAATCATCAAAAGAAGAAGAAGTTAGGCCTGACTCTATCTCCAGATGTGTCTCAGATTTCTCCATCTAAGGTTGCTCGTAACTCAAAAGTGACTGGGTTAAGGCCCAGACCAAGAGACGGACACACAGCAATGTTCTGGAACGACAACATGGTCATCTTCGGAGGGGATAGACACCACATGCCATTTAACGATCTGTTCTCGCTAGATCTAGCTAAAGAAATGAACTAATATTTAGTAAATATGGTAGCTAATGTTTATTTCAGCAGATATTTAACATAAAGGGGTTTTGGGGTTTTGGGGTTTTGGGGTTTTGGGG